TTTTCTTTTCGTCCTGATAAATGATTCGTACTTTCTCGTAATTGTATCATTATATCAGATATAAAAGAAAAAAAAAAAAAGAACAAATTCCTCGGCAAGATCATCTCGTAATCCAAAATATTTTATCAGATTATTTATTTTACCATATATAACATTTTGCCGGTCGATCGAGAACGAAGGACATAAAGGGATATTAGCGTCAATGTTCTTTAACAAATCTCGAAATAATTAATTGCAATTAACAATATACTGACTATTAAATAAAATTCATAACAAAAGGGAAAAGATATGTAAGAGAAGGAACAAGAGAAAGATATAAAATAGACGAAGAAAAAGATGATGATGATGATAATAATGATGATTATGATGATGATGATGATGATGATGATGATCATGATAATAATGAAGAAGAATAAGAGAAAGAGCAAAGAACAGCGAAGCAAAATATGAGGAACAAGCTCTATTCGGTTTAAAACTTCTCTCGCAGTTTGAACGACACGAAGCCAGGCAATTACCGCTGGTACTAAAGAAAAAAAGGAAAAAAAGGGATGGTAAGGGCAAAAACGTTAAAAAGAGAGAAAAGCAAGGGAAAGGAGAGATGTTGGGGGAGGGGGGAAAAATACAGACACAAAAAAGAGAACGAAAAAAAGAAGGAGAAGAAGTAGAAGAAGAAGGAAAAAAGAAAGAAAGAAAGAAAGAAAGAAAGAAAGAAAGAAAGAAAGAAATAGAATAGAGAACAAATAGAGACAGAGAAAGAAACGCACCGGTTACCCTCGCCATATTCACCGACCAGACAACTCGATGCGAGAGTAAAAGCAAAATTGTGTTACGCGTCTAGTAAATACATTCATACATATATAAACACATACGCACACACACGCATACATGTCCAAAGATGCAACAAACACGCTCGTACGTACGTACGTACGTACATACATACATACATACATACATACTTACTTGCATACGTTTGGTCACTCGTAATGATGCATACATACACACACGCATATATGTTTATTTATTTTCTCACTTAAATTTATATACGTATTATCTATTACGTATTTTCTCAATTAAAAGGCACACACATATTCTCATCTGAGATCTCTCTACGTGATGATAATTAATTATGTTGTATATATGTATATCGTGTATAAATATATATATATATATATATGTATACGAGATATACACACACACACATACATACATAAATATACTTTTATATATATATATATATATACAAACGTTGTATCTCCTTTCGGGCAACGTGTATTTCTTTCATAATTTCGTTTCGTCGCGCCAATTTGACGTGAACATGAAAAATAAAATAGAGAGAGAGAGAGAAAGAAAGAGAGAGAGAGAGAGAGAGAGAGAGAGACAAAGGGAGAGAAAGATAGTTCGCGCAAATCGTCACGACGATCACGAAAACGATTATGATTCGCTATCGTTCCGACTTATGTACATAAAACGAGGAAAGAAAGAGCACGAAAGTGAATTAAATTGTTTTCACAAAGTTGAACGAATAGGTTTCAATTATTTTCTTTCTTCAAAAGAACGTACATCACGTTATATTTCTCTTTCGTTTCTTTCCACGTACGGTTATCTCTTGCGCGTTTCATACAAATTTCAAATATATTTAATAGATTACGTTGTTCTTAGCACGATGTTGCGAGAATAGAAGAGACTTCATAGGATTATATGTTCATTCATTGCAATCTTCTCAAATACATTTTACAAGATCCATCTTCTTTTTTAAAGGAAAGAAAAAAAGAAAAAAGAAAAAGAAAATGAAAAAAAAATATACATATATATATATATATTTTTTTAAAAATATATTATATTATTAAAAAAAAAAATATATATATATATATATTATACGTATGTACAAATACATATACGAATATATGTATATATAAATACATATAAATAAATAGAAAAAAAATGTTCTAAAACACATTACACTTTCGTCTAAATAAGCGATTCAACATTGAAGGCAGTTTAAGCGTGTTGGTTTATTAAATGATAAATAGACGATGTAACTCGTCGCATAGTTCCAACTAAGTATAGTCCTCTTCGCCGATTGATATTAATTATGGAACGCTATAACGTTGGCCTATAGAAACTGGGCTAGAGAAAAACAGAGAATGAGAGAGAGAGAGAGAGAGAGAGAGAGAGGAGTGAGAGGGTGAGAGAGAGTTATATAGAAAATTTATTTGTCATTTCGGTTAAGAGTTAGTTAGTATCTCGCATCATGAAAATATTCTTAACGGGACAAATGGTCGACTAGTGCTTCTGGGACATTATTAAAGCTAAAGTAGGGGTATGTATTTACGTTATAGTCTTTAATAATATCGAGCACAGGTGCATAAGAGGAACGATAATTAAAGTACATTAATTAATTCTTTTCTTTTTTTTTTTTCCCTCCTCTACTTCGTTCCTCCTCTTTAAGAAAATTATGTATTTTATAAAGGGAACTCTATGAAAGTGATTTATATTTCGGACATAAAAAAGAAAAAGAAAAAAAGGGAATCTGTATATATACTTGTAAAACTTACACAATGATAATATAAATTCAGGATGAAAAATTATCCGAAGGAAATATCCGTGTAAATTTCAATACAAATTCACGTTAACAGCGACATTAAAGTGTTACGTTCGATATTATATCGAAAAGTTTGTAGGAATACGTATTACATTTACATGATACCATAATCGCATAGAATTTCATTCACGATTGGACAATTCGTTTTTGATGTCAACGTTAAAGAATCATTTGATCGATATTTCGAGGGATTTCTAATACAAGCTGAAAACGCTATTGCAAAGATATATATATATATATATATATATATATATATATTATATATATATTCACATACGGATATATATCAAGTTTAATAGATACGTTCCATATCTCGTAAACGTTGTGTGACAATATGTACACATACGTGTCCAACGAGTATAAAAAAAAAAAAAAAAAAAAACAAAGTAAAAAGAGGAAAAAAAAAAAGAATTATAAAGCAAATGTCACGTCTGTTTTGCTTTAGTAACAACGTATGTACGTACATACATACATACATACATACATTACATACATACGTACGTACGTACGTACGTACCGTGTACCACTCATTCGCTAAAGTATAGCTACGAGAGATGCAGATATTACGTATGCTCGAAACGTACGCTGATAAATAAGATATAACAAGATTCCCTGAGTGTCGACGATGCTAGTAGTATCTACGCGGCCAAAAAATAAACAAGGAAATATGAATACGGAATAAAACAGTATGGCAGGAACCCCACGAATCCAAAGCACGAACATACCGTATTAGCCTTTTATTTTCGACGAGATGGAAAACATCTTTCAAGGAAGGAAAAGGAAAAAAGAAAAGGAAAGGGAGGAAAAAAATATACTCTAATAATATATAAAAAAAAAAAAAAAATTACGAAATTTTTCGACACAGCGCATTTCGATACATCGAAAAGATCATAATTAAACATAATATTCGACTTGTCCTTTTAACAAATTAATATATATATATATATATATTAATTAAATTAAATTTATCTTAACATATGATCTTTCTATCCTCCTTTTCACAACATAATATTCACGAATAACAATGGAAACATCGTTATATCGAGTAAAAAAAAAAATAATATAAACATTTCGCGTTGATATTTTTCATTGTATAAAATATCTCATAAATTGAAACAAATAAACATTCGGATGTACACTCGCGGAAACCGATAATAAATCGACTGTTAAAACATCGATGCCTGGAATCGATCATTCGAAAACTCGTTATAAAGGGAATAAGATAAAAGTAGAATAAATTCGATTGCCCTATCAATACTTTTATTCGTCAGATGTTTTCATTTCTTTTCTTTTTTTTTTTTCCCCTTAGAAAATCCAGGAAATATTCCGGAGCTTTTCTTGTAAGAGTTTCGATGGAATCACGTACGATAATGTACAAAGAGATTCTTCTTTCGATCTTCTAAGCGTACGATTGATAGAACGATGTTTAAGAGTATCTCTTTACTAATATTACGTATATTCTCAAGGTAACTGCAATAACGAAGTTGAAAGTGTCTCTACTCTTCGTATCTCGTCGTATGACCGGCAATAGCAAATTCTCTCTGTCTCTCTGTCTCTCTCTCTCTCTCTCTCTATCCCTCTATCTCTCTCACTCTCTTACATACATACATTTTGAACTTGTCCCGTGCGTGCACAAGGTCCAACCTCATTAATTAGCATGCACTTTACTAACTTACAGTCGACTTGCCATCCTAGCGCATACGCGTTCCATCCTTCTATCTCTCTCTCTCTCTCTCTCTCTCTCTCTCTCTCTCTCTCTCTCTCTCTTTATCTTTCCTCTTTAAACAACGCCACTCCTATAGTCTCTTTTCCTATGCTTACGTTCTAAAGAGATCATTGTAAGCGTATAAGTGTGTAAGAGTGAGTGACTGAGTGAGTGAATGAGTGAGTGAGCGAGAGAGAGAGAGAGAGAGAGAGAGAGAGAGAGAGAGAGAGAGTCTTTTATCTTCCTCGACGATTAAATTATCGATTAACTCAATCGCGTTGTTAAAGGAGAAAAAAATATACTGTCCTTAGGGAAGCTATAGAAAGTGTACCTGTATATCTGTACATATATGTGTGTGTATATATGTGTATGCGTGAATGTATATGAATGTGTAAGAGAGAGAGAGAGAGAGAGAGAGAGAGAGATAGGGTTACGTTATTTTTTAACGATACTAATATGATGTCAAGTAAGAGATAGATTTTAGGATATCTTTATTTGTTATTGTATGTTATGTCTTGAATGGTCGAAACATATCGAGTTTTAAGTCACACCAATCTTTTGATCTCCATTGTTAATTATTTTCTTTTTCCTTTTTTTCCTTTCTTTCTTTACGAATTGACAGTCTCATATATTGAATCTTTTCGAATGGTAAACTTCGATGTCGATTGAAATTCGTATAACATTTTTTTATAGGTAGAGAAAAAGAGAGAGAAGAAGAGAGAGAGAGAGAGAGAGAGAGAGAGAGAGAGAGAGAGAGATAGAAATTGACAAGAAGAGAACATTCAAAGAAATAGCAGGACAAGTTTTAATTTAGTACGATCGCCGATAAATCCAAGCTGACGGCCTTCCAAGCTTGAAATGGATGGTTGAGAAAGAAAAGGGTAAATAAGAGGGGCTCTAGGGAAAAGGAGGAGGAGTAGGAGGAGAAAGAGGAGGAGCGAAGAAAATCGACAGATCCTTCGGTGTTTCCCGTGGGACGACTAGCCGTATAGTAACACGTAAATGAATCCTTCACGGTAGAAAAATCATGGACCTTCGAAGATTCGGCTTCTTGAAAGAAACTTTTTCAAGCGGAAAGTAATAAGATGGAGTTTTGCTATCGGGTTAATAAGAGGGTAAAATAGTTAATTAAAGTGAATATATTGAAAATTATTGCATGTAAATATTGTATCAAACAAAAATAAAAATATAAAAATATAAAAGTCAAGGGAAAAAAGAGATGTAATTTATTTGAAGGGACAAATTGCATTTTATCACTTTCTTTTTCTTCTTCGTTGTTTTATTTATTTTATTTTATTTTTCTTTTTGATTTCTTGAAGTAATCAAGCGATAATAAAAAGAAATTCTCGTTGTCGTTTCCCCTATAGAAAATTTGGAAAATCAAATATACCGAAAGGATCTCGTGTCGTATCGGAAAACGTGGAAATACCAAATAAAGAGCCCGACGAATTTTCTCATCTGTCAATTTATACGTCGTCGGTAAATGTAATTTGATTTCAACGCACCTCGCGGCAAGTCAAAGTTGGAGCAAAGAGGTAGAGATAGGAAAGAAAACGTGTCAGGGTTAATCGATTTCTAGCTGCGCGTGCATTGCTCGAAATCACCCTCGACGAGGACAACTGTGCCATAGAGAAGAAAAGAAGAAAAAAAATAGAAAGAAAGAAAGAAAGAAAAATGTACCTCTCTCTCTCTCTCTCTCTCTCTCTCTCTTTTTTTCCTCTATCCTGTTCGTCGTCTCGTATTCGAACTTCGAACTTATTCAATTAAATTCGAGCAAGTTGGGAAACGCGTTGAATCTAGCGAGCTCTTCTCTTCGAAAAACGAATAACTCTATCCAATACTTTTCTTTCCAATCTCTTCCATTCCAGATTTAACTATCGCCTATTCGCAACAACGATTTTTAAAAATAAATAACAATGGAACATTGAAAATTTTCCGTTTTTTCCGATATAAAAATTTTCTTATTGCTATACGAATATTCAAAAAAAAAAAGAAAAAAAAACAGTGATGCCATAATATTAAAAGAGAGAGAGAAAGAGTGGTAAAAATTTCTCATAAAATTCTCATTAGAGTTTTGGAAAGGACCAAGACGTTAAAAGAATTGCATTTTCTAGCCGACCTAATACCAGTTGTAGTAATAGTAGTAGTAGTAGTAGTAATAGTAGTAGTAGTAACGTTTCCCAACGTGATTAACTCAAATTTCCGGCAAGAGAAGAGTCAGCTCTCTTCTTTGAACTTCCTTGCCGAACTCTTTTCTTGAGTTTTCGCGGATAACGTCTTACGTTCGTAAAAGTTTGGGGCATCGTCGAAAAGAAAGTAAGTAAGTACACGGTTCCCAAATAGCTACGTAACAACGTCGAAAGATCTTGCTTTTTTTTCCTCTTTCTTTCTTTTTTTATTTTTTCTTTCTTCCTTATTTTTTTTCATCTATCTGCCCAATTTCTCACGGCCTGAAAACGGCAAGTTTCTTTTCTTTTCTTCTTCATTTTTTCTTCTTTATTTTTTTTTTTTTTTTTTTTTTTTACGAGAATAAGGAATGAATTTTGCTCGAGGAGAAAGAAAAAAAAAAACAAAGAAAAAAATTTCGACGATTAATATTCAAGTATAATTCCTTTTGTTTTTACTTTTGGTTAATAGTCGGTGTAATCGATTTTTAGAAAAAAAAATTGTAACTTTTGTTTCTCCTTCCATATCTTTCCTCAGGGTAGATATGAGGAAGAGAAGCGTGTCCAGCGAGTAGGAGAGGTCACTCGCTCGGAACAATTCGATAAAGAAGCAACTGGTAGTTTTCGAAAGTTTCGCTTCGACGATTTGTGCGTCCCTCGACGAGAGGACGCGACATTTCGTTGCCTGGACATGAAGACTGAAAAACTAAATTGCCTTTTCAATGTTTTGCACCTTTACGCGAATTTCCAATCGGTTCTTTTTCTTCCTTTTTCTTTTTTTTTTTTTTTTTCTTTTTTCTTCTACTAACCCTTCGATCAATATCCTCGCTTAACATACGTAAAATCCTACGTTCTTTTTAATTCATTTTCGATTATTTTATAAAAAGAATAACAGAAGTTGGATCTTGTAATATACCTTCAAAATTTTACTTTTTATAACGCATTTCTATAACATTGTCTGATTAAATGAAAAAAAAGAAAAAAAAGAAAAAAGGAAAAAAATGATTTATCACAAAATATAACAGAATTAATAATAATAATAAAAAAATACCTCTGATGTCTCTTCTGTTCTCGCGAAACAACGGGAACACGCGCATCGTCCGTGACAAGTATCGAGAAACGCCGTTTATTTTTGGATTATTTATTTGCTTGTTTATTTGTTTTTTCTTTCTTTTTTTTTTTTTCTTAATTCGTTGATTTGTTATAAAAAAAGTCGATTTGTACCTAACAGGGGTATAGCGTCGGAGACCTGGGGTAGGGTCTCGGCAACGAGATTCAGGAACACCGTCAGCGATAGCAAGATGGTCACTCCTGAAACAATCGCAGCCAATCGTGCTCAGTGTACTCCGTTTTTATCAGAGTCCAGAAAGTACGCCGTTAATTGCTTTTCACAACTCTTGCGAGTGCAAAAACCAAGGCGACTATCGCGAGCTTCGACGATTCCTACTACTTTTCTCCCCTGTTTATAATTATTTAATAATCACATCCTTCACAGGACGATGATACGCGTTCATTTTAATAAAGTTTAATTATCCTTTTCTTTCGATCATTCAACGAACAACAGGACGTTGAAAGACATTGGAAAACGAGTAAATTTCTATGCCAGTTTAGGAATTTCTTTCTTCATCTCGAAAGAAAGAGAAAGAGAGAGAGAGAGAGAGAGAGAGAGAGAGAGAGAGAAAGTTTGAACAAAATAAAAATAGATGTATCGATTAAAAGTGCAAATGCACATGCAAACGACATTTAATTTTCTCATATAATAATGTCATTCAAATGTGCATGTCACACGTCTCGATAAATAAAAGTATTTCTTCGGGAAAGATATAAATAAATTAACTTAATGTCTGTATGCATGCGTGTATTCGGTACGATGACACGGTACGAGAAGAAAGGAAAGAAAAAGTGAAACGAAAAAGAAGAAGATAAAGAGGTATCGAAAGAGATAGATAGATAGATACAGAGAGAGAGAGAGAGAGAGAGAGAGGGAAAAGAAAAAAAAGGACGATGAATCGATCATCGAATCCGATCTTCGAGGAATATTTTTAACAGAATTATATGAAAGAACAAAGGAATGATAATTACTTTTGACAGGTATGAGCGAGAAAAATCAATATCTCGGGGGGAAAAACGAGATAGAGAAAAAGAAAAGAAAAGGAAAGAAAAGAGAAAGAAGAAATAAAAAAAGAAAAAAAGTATGAAAGAAAAAACAAGAATGGAGGAAGGAAGGAAGGAAGAAAGAGGGAGATAGGGGAAACTCGAAAGGAAAGAAACGTTTCCTCATTAGAGGAAAAAACCTACTGGCTTCTTTGTTTCCTAGCTTTAGAGATCATTCCTTTTTCTTTATTTCGTCTGGTTGCTATCAAGCGGTCGCGAGCAACGCGATTAATACGTTCAAAAAGAAACAAACGTTGCTTTTGACGTTTCCGGGATTATTTCATATAACGAAGCCATAAGAGACATATTACTCTTTGCACGGGGTAAAAGATGGAAACGTGCTATTTGTCCGGATGAACATGTAAAGGATAAGACAAAGAAATAGGAAGGGTATATAATAAATAAAAAGAAATTACGTAATAACGAATGACGTTTGAGACCATTAATCCGTTTTTCTACAATATATTTTTCATAGGGAAGTTTTTACATATACATATATATATATATATGATGTATATACGAAATGTAAGTATAACGTCGAGATATTTGTCTCCATTATTTATTAATTCCTTCTCTTTCTTTCATTTTTTTTTCCCTCTTAATTTTTAATCATTCTTCCGCCTATGGATACGAACGATAAAAAAAGAAAAAAAAGAATATTAATGACGATCATCAGTTTTCTTTTTTTATTCTTTCTCTTTTTTTTTCTTTTTCTTTTTTTTTTCTTTTTCTTTTTTTTTTCTTTTTCTTTCTTTTTCTCAAAGGAAACACGTCGTAAATCGAAATTTCTCGAGGAACGAATTCAAAGAGTTAAGTATATGTAGATACTGATAAAAAAAAAAAAAAAGAAAAAGCGCAAATGAATATTTTTACGATGTCGGACTAAGAGAGCTTTTCAAAAAGCTCGAAGGACACTCGAAGCTGGTAGCTTTGTCGTTAACGAATCGACAAATCGAGAAAAGTATTACATCCGTGGAAATGAACCGTCACGCGAAGAAACGTATCTCATTCTGGGAAAAAGCATTTTCCAAACTACTCTCTCTCTCTTTTCCTACATATATATATATATATATATATATATATATATATTTATTTATATATATACATATATATATATATATTTTTCTTCGCCGTTCTTTCTCTCTCTCTCTCTCTCTCTCTCTCTGTCTCTTTCTTACTTTTCCACCGTCTATTCACGCATCGAACGTTTCGAAGCTTTTCCGAACGTTAAGCAAATGTTTATTTCCGAACGTTTGTACGAGTATGTAGTGCAAAGGGAAAAGAGAGAAAGAGAGAAAGAGAGAGAGAGAGAGAGAGAGAGAGAGAGATACGCTTTTCGAGTAGAAAACGTGTATGTGAAAAGGACACTCGCGAACAAATATTTGCCGATACTAGAATGATATAAGTCGAACATACTTTTCACGACATTAACAGTGGAACGGAATCGAACGGAAAGAGTTCATTCATTTTAAATAAAGTTAACTCAAAGACGAGATAAAAAGATAAGAAAGAAGAAAAAGAAAAAGAGGAAGAAGAAGGAGAGAGAGAGAGAGAGAGAGAGAGAGAGAGAGAGAAAGAGATAGGGAGAAAGAAAAGAGGATAAGAAAAAGTCATTAACTAAGGGATTAAATTCAGCGAGAGATTGAAATACACGGTGAAATCGATTTTCCATCCTTAAAACGATAATTATGATCCCTTATTCGATATTATAGTTCGTTCGACGTAAAAGAAAATAGTTGAAATGGATAAATAGAAAGAGATAGATAAAGATGACGAGATAAAAGGAACAAAAGAAATAGATAGAAAAAAAGAAGATTAAAAAATAAGACAGAGAGAGAGAGAGAGAGAGAGAGAGAGAGAGAGAGAGAGAGAGAGAGAGAGAGAGAGAGAGAGCAAAAAATCGAATACCTACGGCTAGAACATGAAACTACTCGTAGAGATACACAGGGTCCACTTTCAAACGCGAACTCTTCAACGACGTATCGAATGAGAGAAAGAGAGAGAGAGAAACTTGGTCGTCGTCATTGTCGTTGTCGTTCTGGAGTGGACATCGAAACGATGATGGCTTTTAAACGTTGGTACATATGTATATTGTCGTCGAACTATTACCTCTTCCAGTCTATAGAATTTCGATATACGAAACGAACAAATCGGAAGGACGGAAGAAGGAACAGTGGGACGGAGGGATGAAAAAACGAAACGCTTTAAACACGACTATCGTTGGATTCGACGGAAGTTATATATACGTATATTGGCACGTGCCACCACTTTCTACATTTTAACGTTGTCCATGTGAACATATGGAAAATCGTTTTCTATATATTGTCGTTCACTAAAAAGAAAGAAAGAGTGGGAGAGAGAGAGAGATAGAGAGAAACAGATAGTTAGATAGGTAGATAGAGAGAGAGAGAGAGAGAGAGAAAGAGAAATAAAGGAAGAGAGTCCAACGAAATTTTCAAATGTCGTGCTAGCTTTGCTCTCGATTCTCCTTTCGATACTTCGACGATGAATGTAAATCTGTGTATGTATATATGTATGTGTGTATCAGTGTGTAATCTTTCTCCAACGATACGAGAAAAGTCATTCGAGTTGGATAACGATAGGAAAAAGGAGAAAGCAATAAAGTGTCGCGAATGTTACACTAGCTAAACGTATCCGTTTTCCGTTTTCCGTTTTTCGTGACACCGGAGAGGCTTTAGTTATTTTTTTTCCCTTCCCTTTCTCTCCCACTTCCCCACTCTTCTCTCTCTTTTCTCGATTAGATAGAATATCCTCGATACGTCGAAAAATCGAATGAAGACGATTACCGATAACGATGTACTACGATAGAAAGGCAGATTTTTAGATTACAATACATTTTTCATTTTTTTTTCTTTCTTTTTCTTTTTTTTTTTTTTTCCTTTTCTAACGAACGACAAACGACTCAATCCAAGGTTTCTCTCTCTCTCTCTCTCTCTCTCTCGCTAGTTATTTTTTTTTTGTCTTTCTTCTATCATTTTTTCTTTTTCTTTTTTTTTAAATGTCGATAATACGCGTATCCTGCCCGGCGATATTCCAACAATAATAAAAACGCCAATCCCTTCATACTGCCTTTTCTACATTTCAATTTCGCGTCGTTTTACATAAGGTCGAACTAGACACATATCTATACGAGAAAGAGAGAAAACAAGAGAAGAGAGAGAGAGAGAGAGAGAGAGAGAGAGAGAGAGAGAGAGAGAGAGAAAGAGAGAGAAGTGCGTGGGAAATATTATGCACATAAAAAGTTGTAAAACGTTTTCTACTGCTTTTTTTCTTTTTCATTTTTTTCTTTTTTTTCTTTTTTTTCTTTTTTTGCCTTTTCTTTCATCCGTTATTGCCCCTTCGTCATGATAGGGAAAGGGGTGGAAGGCTAGGTGAAAGAGGAAGAGGAAGAGAAGGAGGAGGAATAGCAAGGAGGAATAGCGAGGATGCAAATTTCCATATGGGCGAGAACGTGATCGTACCGGAACCCAGTTCGTTTATGGAAATCCATCGAATCCCTTGATAAAGTCAGAAGTAAACCGCGATTCGCTTCGTTTCATCCGTTCCGATCGTCCGAATCGTTTTAGTTTAGCCTTTCAAAATCCGCGACGTGAAAATATTATTCTCACGAATTCTTCTTCTTCTTCTTCATCATCATCATCAACTTCATAGTCATCCTTTCCTATTACTTCTTCCTTTTTCTTCCTCTTCCTCTTTCAATTCTATCTATTCATTCTTTGTAAATCGATTTATAAATTTTCTACGTTTATAGAAATAAAAGATAAAAATCGACCGACCGAACGAACCAACGATACTCGTATCTCATTAAAAATGACGATAGGAATGAATAGAAATGAAATTATTATGTTTCGTCGGGCGTGAACGTAGAGATGGTTAGATCGAAGATAAATGAATTCGATAAAAGAGAAAAGAAAGAGAAAGGGAGATAGAGAGAGAGAGAGAGAGAGAGAGAGAGAGAGAAAGAGAGAGAGTGCTTTGAAAAAGCATTGAATATATCACGCAAGAGTGACATTAAATTTCTCTTAAAAGGACCTACACTTTGTTTTCTTCATCTTTTTCCTCTTCATCTTCATCTTCTTTTTCTTTTTCTGATGTACTCGTTTTATGACAGTACCGGAAAAGGAACGATTGACTGA